AGCCATTTCCTCTTCAAGAGCCCCAAACCTTTTAAACTATTTATTTGGAAACAATTTTACTTTATATTCTAACTAGACGAACTATCCGTGCGATGCACGGGTATATCTAGATTAGTAAAATAACTTATTTAAGATTATGTTTTATTTCGATGGTACGTAATGCGTATTTTGTTCAAATACGGAATATAAAAAAGGTAATGTGGCTTATATGTTGTAAGTTTTATTATTTAATACTCCATCTGTTCCGTTGAAAGGTTCCTACTTTCCTTATTTGGGTGTTCCTATAAAGGTTTTCATTCCATTTTAGAAAATAATTTACTCTCTTTAATTACGATTTTATTCAAATTTCTCTTTCCTACTCATGCATTACATGTCAGGTCTCAAAATTTCCTCCACCAACTTATCCCATTTTAATTACTTTCACTTTATATGTTCACTTTTTTTAAATTTTCTGTTTCCTCTCCTTTTTTATCCAAATTACTTTATTGGAGCACTTGCCTAAAAGATCATGCCATTTACCCAAAGAGACCTCCAACGGGACGAATGGAGTAGTAGTTTGTAAGAAAAAAGAATAATTGTATTATAAAATGTTGTAACTCTCTCATTGAGAGTGGTCATGATGAGCACTTTTTTGTGTCTATGCTTCCTTATTCGAGAGAAAGAGATGATGATTCTACATGAACCTTTGATTCTCATTCTCGCTTAACCACAGTGAACCAAGATAATCTCAAAATCATGATTTTTGCAAATGAATGTGCACTGTGTTCTGATCAAACATGGTGTTGATAAAATGCAAAGTAGATCGAGTTGGTACCTATTCTTATCGACCCAACTGCATGCATGATCTCTAGAGAGAAACATGTAATTGAATTGTTTTCATTATTTTCAACCCTAGATTATTAAAATGTTGTGTCTAAAAAGATTGATACGATAGCATAATACAATCTGAAATGTTGTGTATTAAAAACATAAAATTTGAAGTACAAATTTAAAATCACAAGTCCAAATTCAATGGAGTGAGTTTCACCCCAGATTACTCCAGACCCCTAGACCCCCTCCTCTAGACGCCCCCTGAAGTAAAAAAATATCATTTGTTAACATATATCTACTCCATATAGGTATTAAAAACCAGGCTAAGTAGACGTCTTAATGAGAAGAAGTGCATTTTCACAATCTAATGATTAAGAGCCCGTTTTAGTTATGACTGAAGTGGCTAAGTTGGTTAATTTTGTTGATGTATTAAAAAACTATATTTAAACTATATTTACACTATAATGAAGAAAAATTTATATTTAAAAATAGCTAAAATGGTCATCTACAATAACTTCAGCCAATACAGTCACAAAAAGTAAATTCAACCTTATTTTTTCTTATTATTACACAATTTAACGCATGAAATAAAAAAATTACATGTTTGGTGAAAAAATTGACTGAAGATTAAGTCTTTTTCATTAAGTCCATCAAGTATAAGTAAACAAAAGTTTATAACTGAAGTATAACAAAAGTTTGGTACAGTCTATTAGACGTGCATATAAATTATTGAATAATGAGGAAATATTAGTATAATAAATTCATAACTCTACTAAATAATGTGAATATGTTTTTTAAACATAAAGTATATTCATATTAAATAATTATTATTCACTTATTAACTATGAGAATTTTGAAATAAAATTGAAATTACCTTTTGATCGAGTAAAATTGATATTTTGTGACTTTTGGTGTTCAATAATTGTCACAATGGAATGACACATACACAAACTCTCTAATCGATGCACCCGAGTTGAAATAACCGATATTCACTCAGTAGAAAAACTATTACTTTTTATGTGACTTTTTTTTACAATTACTTTAGGAAGTGTTTGATGATATAGTCTCATTGGTGACACTATTTTTCAGCTTATCACATTTATCAGTCAATTTTTCATCTAACACGTAACTTTTTATTTCACGCTCTAATTGTCCAATACTAAAAAAGTAAAGTTGCAGTTGATTTTCTGGCTGTTTTTGTTGAAGTCACTGTTAATGATCATTTTAGTTATTTTTTCATATAATTGTTTCTTTATTTATTAATAAAATATATTTTAAATATTTTTTTCCACAAATCAGCAGAATCAGTCGATCAACAACTTCAATCAAAACTTCATAAATTTTAGCAGAATCGGCCAATACATGTGATTCGGGTATTACTAAATCGATCGGCTCTTATTAATATGTTGGTTAAAGGAAAAGTTTCCTAGTAAGGGAAATACATTGTATAGGGGTATTTTTCCAGTATTACTCAAGTTTTTTCATGTTTTTCATATTACGGAGTATCATTTATAAGTTTTATTCGTACATACTTTTGAACTGCCTAAATATTCATGTAACCAATTAGTAATAATACCATCCACTATATATGGTAATATTACCATGTTAATAAGATCCGCTAGTAAAATTACATATATTCACAGTTTCAAACATTGATAACTATTCTGGTCATCATCATGTTACTTAAACTTATTACTATGTATATGACACTACTTACCATTTATTTCTTAATACCATATCCTTTATTCCTTTACATTACATATATGGTAGTATGACAATCCGTTTTTAATACCATTGCTAATTAGTAATTACCATCCGTTTTTAATTACTACATTTAATTGTTCCATTAATTCCCTATTATGCCCTTATTTTGGGCGAGATTTTTCTCTCCAATTGTTGTCTCAACTTTGCTACTTTATATTATATAAAGATATTGACTTTTCTTAATTAATGATAATCAAGTTTAATTAATGATATCTTTTAATACAAAATTATTTATAAAGTATAAAAATTATATGCTTTTTTTTAAAAAATAATTTCATAAAAGTATAAAGTTTATAATTTGATACAAATAAAATAATTACAATCATTGTCCAACATTTATTACATTGTAACATTGACAAAGAAAGAAATGTCAATTTGGCAATTATGTACGTAGTAATAGGCAAAGGAAGTTTGGGCGGCATAGCCGCATTGGCAAAGCAATCGATAACAAATCAGCAGTCTAGCTTCATTTTAATTTTGTTCTCCGAAATCAAATATTTGGTTCATTGTTTCTCATTCTTTCGATCTGAGCGCATTATATTGCATGGTGATTGGAGAGTAGGGTAAAGCAGCGCATCAGAGATGCTATTGCGAGTATGATGAGCAAGCAATTGGGAAAAGAGTGTTGCCTTGCAGTCGTTCTTCTCTCCAGCTAAACGAAGGTAACATCCTTCACAGAGGTTTTTGGGAAAAGAGTACGACCCAATTTAATTGACTGCTCTTCTTTTGTTATTGTGTTTGTTCTGTTCTATGGTTGTTCTTTCCTGGGTTCTGGAGCTCCGACGTTTTGTCTCCCTCCATGTGGAGAGTTGCTTTGATGTCCCGACCAGCTTTGCTTGGTCAAGGGATTTCTGCTTGTCTTCTTTTGGGTTGCATAGAGTATGGAAGAGTTGAAGAGGCATGAAGAATGTGTATGTCTCTAGAACTTTCCAGAACGAAGTAAGAAGAATCTAGTGTTCACCCATATTTTAGCACTCGTCCTCCGGAATCACCTCTGCGCCAGGAAGAGCTTTGTTGAAACACCTTATTCCAGCATTATTTCATGATTAGCCGTACTTATTTTTATTTTGGTTTGAGTAAGTTTGATTTTGATATTTGGAATTTTGAAATAGTTTTGAGGAAAAATTGATTCCAAAATTTTTTAGAATCACTGGTTCTCGTATTAAAGCTATTCGATGGAGCAAGCCAAGAAGTAAATTTAAATTAAATGTCGATGCAAGCTTCTTGTTGTTGTCTTGGCCACTCGATGGGCGATTGAAGCTGGGTTTTCTAAGATTCAGGTGGAGACGGATGCGGCTGAAGTGTTATCATTCTTCCATCAGGTTAGAGAAGGGAGATGGATAGTTTTAATTCAGGAAACGAAGCTCTATGAAAATAGGAAAGGGGTGGTTCGAGCATATTTGGGGTGAATGCAATTCGGCTGCTCATCATCTGAGTATTTCTTTTTCAGCCCACATTCAATATTTTAATTATCCAAAGGATTTTGGTGGTTGGCCTTCCGAGTTAAAAAAACAGTGTTTCAGTCGTTTTAAACTTAAAATTGTCTGTGTTTTTTTTTGTCTAGTGAGTCATATTGTTATATATGAGGTGACCGATGCTAACTATATTCCTAGGACTTACATTGAGAGCCCGTTTGGTAGCACGAAAATCGGCTGTTTTGGCTGATTCTGCTGAAATTTATGAAATTCTGGCTGAAGTGGCTGTTTTGGCTGATTCTGCTGATTCAAGAAAAAAATATTTTAAAAATATATTTTATTAATAAATTATAGAAAAAATTACATGTAAAAATAGCTAAAATAGTCCTCTACAGTAACTTCAGCCAATACAGCCAGAAAAGTAACTCCAACCTTACTTTTTCTGCTTATTACACAATTCAGCACACAAAAGTAAAAGTTACGTGTTTGGTGAAAAAGCTGACTGATAAGCCTGATAAACCGAAAAAAGAGGTCTCCAAACGGGCTCTGAATCTATTGTAATTGTCTGAAAGTTGTGTTTTTATACTTTTTTTATTTTAATAATAAAACCCGTTACTTTATTTAAAAAGCTATAATAGGCAAAGAAATACTAGTACGTACTCCCTCTGTCCCTAATAACTTTGCCAAGTTTGAGCGCCATGAGAATTAATAAAATAAAAACTGTGTGGTTGAGGTTTGTGCAGAGAGAGAATTAACATGAACTACAAATTCTTTATTTAAAAGGTAATGTGACAAAGTTAATGAGATATTCCAAAAAAAGAAAGTTAGCAAAGTTATAAGGGATGGAGAGATTATCAATTTGGCTATTGTGTAATAGGGTCATAGGGAGTATAATAATTCTACCTATCGTATTTATCTTTGTTGTGCAAACTTAGCCATTTCATGGATGAGCATAAAATACGAAACAACAAACATGAATGAGATGACCTCCTTTAATTGATTATCCCGAGCCAGAGATTTAAATGACTAATTGCTCTCTTCTTTATTTTTGCTAGATAGCTTCATCTCTGCTTTTCTTTTTCCAATTAATTAGAAGGGACAATAATAAAAGTATAAAATTATATCACCATCGCTCAAATTTGCTGCTAATCCAATGAAATCGATCTAAGCCAGCTACATTGCATGAATATTTGATAGCCGTCTTCCCCTGCCGGTGAGAAACAGCAGCGACGCCGTAGTTGGGGAGGTGGGCATGAAGGCCAATGTCTCCCCACCGGACGAGGAAGACCAGACAAAGGCGGCCGTTTTAGGGTACCCTCCCAAACAGCCCTTTAATCCTCCTCCTCCTCATCAATATCCCGCCGTCAATTACCCTCTCCACGCCTATGGGCCACCGCAGGCGTATCCCGGCGGCCACCATGGAATATATTCTTCTAACCAATACCACCCTTCCTCAACGCCAGGCTACTACAACCCGCCTTCACATTCCGGTTACAATTACAACTCTGCCCACTTGCGACCACAGCCGCCGCCGCACAGCGCGCTGGAATACGAAACCCGCCGGAGCTTCGCCTTTGCTCGGGTGATCCTCTGCCTCATGGTTTTCCTGATCCTCATGACCTCCATCATGAGCCTACTAACGTACATCGTCTTCGGCTCCGACATCCCGATCTTCCAGGTCGCCTCCTTCTCCGTGCCGTCGTTCAACATAACCGGTGCCGGGAGCTCCCTCAATGCGACGTTCGAAGGAAGCGTCACGGCTGAGAACCCGAACCACAAACTCGACATCACGTTCCAGCACGTGGAAGTCGGGGTGGGTTACCACCAATTGGTGCTAATTGCGAAGAAGCAGATTCCCCCTTTCGAGCTGAAGAAGGATGGGAGGCTAGTGCTGACGGCCGCCCCGCTTTCAACTCCGGCGACAGGATACGGCAACGCGGCGGAGATTTGGTTGAAAGATATGAAAAGCGAATATGATGGTAACCGGACCGTTACGTTCGATATGGTGTTGACGGTGGTGGCCACGTTCAAATCGGGCTCAGCTTGGAGCCGGAAGACGATGTTCAAGGTTGTTTGTGAGGGGTTGAAGACGGAATTTAAGGATCCCGGCGGTGCCGGAGTTTGGGATGGTGTTAGACAAGGGTGTATGGTTTTCGGTTGATCTATCTAGCTAATTAATCTGATCAACCCGGTCTTTTTTTTTGAAAACTTAATTAATTAATTTTATGTGCTTAGAGTCTTTTTTAGATACGTAGTATGATATACAGAGCATTATTATGTACAGATAGTGTATATACAGTGTTGGTTTATATTCAATTTATCATAATTAACCTGGCACACGTATGACAATTATTATGTAACTATATTTTGTTTCTGATCTTACGAAGTACGTATTTGTGGAGTCTTCTGTGTTTGGAAACCTCTTTGGTCTCTTCCTAATTTCAAATTTCATCCTAAATATGACAATATCTCATTTGATCTTCATAAATGATTTGATGCTTTACTCATTCAAGTGCTCTTGAAACATCAAACATGTGGCAGATTTTGAAGGTGTGCTTGAGCTTTTAAAATTGCTAAATCTAATACGTAGTATTTTTCTTATTGGGGTAAATGAACACGAGAATGGTGTGATTCACAATGCCGTTGATATTCCTACGGGACAATTTCCGGCCAGTAAGGTGTTTGGGGGTACCAGACTACCAGTACGTTAATATGTTTATATACGAGAAGTTTGTTTTGAAAACAAATACTCCCTCCGTCTCCGAAAGAAGTTCTCACTTTCCTTATTTGGATGTCCCTAATTTAAGTTCTCAATTCCTTGAATGGAAAGTTATCTACATTAAAACAGTGCAAAACAGTGTCAAACAGTGTCAAAACAGTAAAATTTACCCCCTAGAAAGTTTACTTGCATAAAAGTGTGTGAAAGTCAAATGAGGAACTTCTTTCCGGGACGGAGGGAGTAGTACGTACGATTTATGCCGGCAAGTAGGAACTAGGAACTAATTATATTGGAGCTAGTATACAGGGAATCTAATCCTATTGGAATCGGACATAGGTGTTTCCACTCCCATCTACAGTTGTTGAGAAGACTGTTTCACATTGCAGACAGTTTCTATGGAGAAAACCTAACGCTAAGGAGGTGTGGGCTGACATTTGTACACCCAAGGATAATGGAGGTTTGGGCCTAAAAGATTGTAAAATACTGAGTATATATATAACACTATATGGGGTGTACGTCTCCACTATTTAACAAGTTGATCAGGATTAGAGAGACATTGGATACATTATTAGCAACAGAAGTTGGAGCTCTTCAAGTATTGATGTACGCCCACAGCAAATTCTCTGCTACTGGTAAGCTACTCTCTAGCAAGATGTATGACATTATGAGGGTTAAATTCCCAACAAAATTCTAGATGGGGCTTATTTGAAAAACCTAAATCCCAATGAAGTTCTTTTTATGTTTTTATTTTGTGGCTTGGATGGAGAATTAAGCTACCAACATGTTATAACTTATATTGTATATATATATATATATATATATATAGGAATGTTCATGTCAGGCCGGCCTGACGGGCTGCCCCGTCCGGCCGAGCCCGTTTGGGCACCTTCCCGGTGGAATTTTTTGATGAAATTTTTTGAGCATGTTCCTCATCAAGTCTAGTTTGTCCATACCAAATTTCAGCTCAAAATTCCATCGGGAAGGTCGTCAAATGATTTTTGCAAGTTAACTGGTCCGGAATATGTATTTTCCGGACCAGTTAACTTGCAAAAATCATTTGACGACCTTCCCGATCGAATTTTGAGCTGAAATTTGGTATGGACAAACTAGACTTGATGAAGAACATGCTCAAAAAATTTCATCAAAAAATTCCACCGGGAAGGTGCCCAAACGGGCTCGGCCGGACGGGGCAGCCCGTCAGGCCGGCCTGACATGAAGAGCACTCTATATATATATATATATATATATATATATATATATATATATATATATATATATATATATATATATATATATATATATATACATCTGAATAGGGCGTTTTTGTTTTTGTAAATCCCACAGACTCTTTTGATCATCTATTTTTCAAGTGCGCACTTTTGGGACTGTTTGGGAAGTAGTTATCTTCGAAAATTAAAACCAAGTTTATTTACTGGAAAAGAAAATGATTATAAGTGTGGTGTTTGTAAAATGGCCAAAAGCCATAAAACCTTGTATGCTCCAAGTGATAATAAAACCTTGATTCCTTGTATGTTTGGGGACCAGCTCGAATTTCTACACCCAGTGGTGTTCGTTACTTGGTGACATTTGTCGATGAATGCACACGTATGATATGTGTTGGTCCCGGTTATACAAGGAACAGTCTAGAGGGGTGAATAGACTGTTGTGGTTTTTAACTTTTTCTAGCTTAGTATCAAGGTTAACAAAATAGCCTGTTCTGTTGAAGAATAGATTAGCAGCTGATGGTCTTTTGGTAGGGGTTCTGTCCGGTTAGCCTCACAGAGGTGTAAAGGCAATAGGCCTTCTGTTAACTCTTAAGACTTGTTCTGCTGAGCACAGACACCAAGTCTTTGGAGTTAAGTAGTTTGAGATAAATATAAGTACTAAAAGCAGTAAGTAAATGACACAGAGGATTGCTATAGTGGTTCAAGGAACAACTCGTTCCTCTAGTCCACTGTTCCACTAAGCTTGTAAAAGTCACAATTACACAGACTTAGTCCTAGCACTTAAGAAGCTCTCCACGTCTTTTTCAAGTGTATATGTCTCCTGGGATGCACTTCCTGGCTTCCTTTAAGACTGGTCCTTTCACTGAGTTTCCTTGAAGTATACCCACTTCACTACTCCAGTTATTTGAACGCCCTTCTTTAGAAGATTGCTTTGTAGGGGTTTCTCCAACTTGCTTTGTCACAAAAGATATGTAGTTGAGGTGTTTGAAGTGCTGAAGAACTGGAGGAACTTTGCTCTTGGTTGGATATGCGAGATGTGGAAAAAATATCTTTTCCAACTTAAGCTTTTCTTGTTGAGGAAGATGAAATTCAGATCGCAAGAAAGCTTTTTAAATGTTCGTAGAGAGAGCAAAAGTTATCCGAGTAGTTCTTCATGATGTATCTGATATACTAGAGTTGTCTTCCCGTTGGAGGAAGAAGACAGTTGCATTAAATGTGCGTACTGTACATTTGACTGGTTGGTTCCAAAAGCAGACGGCTTGCCATCTAAGTAGCACGGAAACGGGAAACGGGAAACGTGAAACGAGAAACGGGAAACGCGAGAAACGTAATTTCTAAAAAACATAGGACACGAAACGTGGGCGAAACGCGTAAATATATTTTTTAATATATGTACACAACTTTTTCCATATGCACATGTTTTTTTAATATAATTTGTTTAGTAACCAAATAATAAAATCACTCTACATGTTCGAATTTAGATATTATTTCATATTAGTACATAATTAAACATAAAATGTACGGAGTAATACATTTCTAGCAATACATTGCGTTACGAAATGTAACAAGTGTTGCCGCTGAGAAATACCACAAAAATTCAATATAAAAAATTATTTTCCACCACAAAATCTTTTGAAAAAGAAAAAAAATTGGAATCCGAGGTTTTCGAAACGTAGTGAAAAGGGTTTCCAAATTTTTCTTAATTACGGAAACGGCCCCGAAACGGGAATGTGAAGTTTCCGAGTTTCCGAAACGCTTCCGAGTTTCCGAAACGTGGAAACGTGAGCCATGGAGAGTTTCTGTGCTTCCCTAGCTTTCCATTTTTGGGCGCATAAAGATATTGTTTTTGGATCCTTGGTCAATCATCAGCTTTAAATATCTCAACGTGTGAAGCACATTAAATGGGCATTTAATGCGCGTACTGTAGCTTTCCCGTTGAGAGGCTCCTAGCCGTTAGGGTATATCCCGTTAGTTTAACCGTATTAGGTAACATCAAAATTCTCTAAGTGTGAGGCCATCTGTTGCTTTACACAGAGGGGCAATCTCAGAGAGCCCCGAGCACTTCTGTCCAGTAGAAGTCCAACAGAGGGCCTGAAGGTCTTCTGTCCAGTAGAAGTCCAACAGAGGGCCTGAAGGTCTTCTGTCCAGTCGATTATTCTAATGCTTACATATAGAAAGTTCTAATACAATTTTCTAAAGGGGTTCTATTCTAAAAGCCTAAATAGTCTAGCATCATCAAAATCTAAATACAATTTATTCCTTACAATATGGATTTCCCTCAAACACAAAGGGGAACTATGTTCAGTGTTTCAGGAGTTGTACCGAGTGGTTAAATCACAATACATGTGTAACATCCAAGTTTTACAATCTGATAATGGAAAGGAATATGTCGTTCATGAGATGGAAACATTATGCAAACATAACTCCATAAGACACCAGACCTCATGTGTGGGGTACACCCCAGCAAAATGGACTAGCAGAAAGACGAAACCGAAAGCTTTTAGAGATTGTTCGGACATCCTTGTTTGACATGAATGTCCTACGTAAATAATGGGGAGAGGCAGTTCGATCAGCAGCTTAATTATCTCATGAACAGAACCCCATCTCGAGTTATTGAGTTCAAAACCCCGATCCAAGAACTTCATGAACTTGTAACAACCCCAAGAAGTGTTAATATGGAACCGAGAATTTTCGGATGCAGAGCCTATGTTCATCAAGACCTAGGTAAACTGGAACCTAGAGCTATTCGGTGCATTTTCTTGGGATATGCAGTTTTTAAAAAGGGTTATCAATAGAACAGTGAGTTTGAAAAGGGTTATTGATGTTATGACCCTAAGGAGAAGAAACTCGAGATGTTGTATTCCATGAAAATGTTCCCTTCTTCGGGAGTGAGTGTTCTCTTCAGGGGGAGAATTTATCCAACAAGGAAGATGAGAACATGAACAAATATAACGGTGAAATAGATCAATCGGGAGAAATTAAACACAGAATTCTCTGAACAGTGAGTTTAAAGTTAACGGATCAACTGAAAAAGGAGATGATAATGTGGAACCAGGGATTGTGGATGATAGCACATATATGGAAGGAAATCTTGAAGTTGGAACACTTGAAGACAAAGATACTACAACTTCCCCAACTGTCATTACCGTAGAAAGACCACAAGAATCATCCTCGGTAACCGCAAACCCCATTTCTCCTAACGATTTATTTTTGCAGGATATTTCGAACACACCTGATGAGTACAACACACCTCCTGAACCTAGGTACCCCGTAAGGCGGAATCGAGGAGTCCCAAAAAGGAACTATCAACCTGATCTCAACGCACTAGCAAAATATCCCATTAACAACTATGTGTCCTCTCACCGGTTAGCTAAATCGCAGGCTCT